CCGCCCGCCCGGCGCCCGCCCAGAGTCAGCCCCGCGCCCCCTCACTCCTTCCTGACCGCACCTGGTAGTGTACGACCCGACGACGGCGGCGACATTTGTGGCCTCGCCGACCTGCTGCCTATCTTGGCCTGCGCGGCGGGCCGGGTCCGTGTAATCCCCCGGCACAGAGATAACCACCGTCATTTACTCAAGGAGGCCCTCCTAGCGAAACTGCGCTACGTACACGAGTACGGCGCCTAGATTACCCGCACGAGTACCTCGCCACCCCCTCCCGGACGGCGTGGCGGCTGCGGCTGCCCCGGTCCGGGCCTTAATAGCCTCCTCAATGAAATGCATGAAGCGCGCGACCTTCACCCAGACCCCGGCGGGGCGGGGGCTCTCTCGTCCCGCAATGACAAAAACGGTTCCCACGGGCCGGCCGGTCGGCTCCTGCACAAACCATAACGTGCGAAAGTGCTCGGGCGAGAATGCGCGAGCAGAGAGTTGAAGAGTTGTTGGGGAGGGGAAGGGGGCAGAAGCGCGTGTCTCTGACACCTTTCACCGCTCGCCTGCTCGCCCCAGCCCGGACGAGGGGCCGACTCGTTTGCTCTAATGTTTATTCGCTCGCTGTAAGTCCCACCCGCGCACCCTCCTCGTCCTCCCCGAACTCCGGGCCCCGGGTTCTGGGCAGGGAGGCGGCGGAGGAGAACGACCGTCCTGGCCTCGCCCGCCCGCTGGCCCGCGCTGTGATCCAGCTCAGCGCCAATGCGGCACGGCTGAGATATACGGCCGGACTGTCGGGCTGCATGGTCTGGTCGGCGCGGCGTAAGCTGCCCTCCCCGTAGGGCGGCGGCGCGCCACCCGGCCAGCCCCGGCCGCCGCCCAAAGTTAGCCCCGACCGACCGCCCCCTTCGGCCGTCCTTGTCGCCCGGGGGGCTGCGGCGCTGGGGTGCGAGCGGGACGGAGCACTGCGTCGCGCGCTCAGACGCCCCGACGCCGCGCCGCTGGACGCCAGATGGACTAGACGTGGGTGCCGCCGCGGCGCCGGCTGAGCCCGGGGCACAGGCAGTTCCCGCCGGCGCCGCGTCGATACTCCGCGCCCGCGCCCGCGCCTCTCTCTCTCTCTCTCTCTCTCTCTCTCTCTCTCTCTCTCTCTCTTTCTGTCTCCCTCCGCCTCCCTCTGCCTGTCTGTCTCTGTATCCTCCCTCCTCCCGCCCCTCCCCGGCGATACTCCGTCCGCGGGCCCCTAAGCATGCGGCCCGGGGGCGCCTGTGAAGTCAAGGGTAGGCCACCAGTCCGACGGCGCTGCGCGGCAGGACGTCCATCCATCTGTCCGTATCAGCCCGAGTTCCGCCCGGGTGGCCCTGCCCGCTGCCCGCCGTCCATCGGCTGACCGAATGACTTATTGTAGCCTCGTTTCCAAACGACGGCGGGGAGGGGCAGGTCCTTCTGCAGTGTCGGGCGCACCCGGGCGCCGCTCCGAGGTGTCCGAGGCGACACGTTCGGCGCCGGAGGGGCGGGGGTGGGGGAGCGAGGCGGCGAAGAAGTACGGTGTCCTATCGGTGTGTCCAAAGCTACCGGGCGATAGCCAGACCGGTGCTGGACATGGAGGGGAGGGGCGGGGCGGGGTGGCGGAGCGAAGAGAGGCGTTCCTTGGTCCCTAATGCCTAATGCGTGCGCCCAGTCGCACCATGTCCGCGCGCGCCGCCGCGCCGCTCCTGGCCCTCCTCCTCGTGGCGGCCGCCGTCCAGGGCGAGGACACCGGTGCCGTTGACTTCCCCGACGAAGACAATGAGGTCTTGGACCCGAGGAAGATCGTCGACCTCCTCGGCGAGGGTAAGTTATTACGGTCGGCGCGAGCAGATATCGCGGAGTGTTTGGCTTTAGAAACTGGAGGGTGCGAGACTTGTGGGCAAAGTTTCTCGGCTGCACACGTTTACCATCTTGGCGATGTGTTTGCAGAGGACTACCTGGACGTGCTGGTGGGCGGCGGCGAGGACGGAAAGTGGCTATCACTGCCCGGGTTTGGGCTCTTCGACAACTGCATCAACCCTCCCCCGGAGTGCCCCAACTCCAACATAACGTTCTGGCTATACACGAGGTAGGAGAAGTGGAGGAGGAGTAAAAGATGACGCGTCACTAGGTCAGCCACCGGGTCACGTCGGCCTTGCACCGTGCCGCAGGGAGATTGGCGACGACCCGGAGCAGCTCGACGTGGCGGTGCCCGAGTCCATCGAGTACGCGCGCTGGGCGCACGGGAAGCCCGTGAAAGTGCTTATCCACGGCTACACCGGCGACAAGGACTACTCGCCCAACACCGAGATCCGACCAGGTGAGTGGTGGTGACTGGCTCATTTTGGTGCGCTGACCCAGTGAGAAATACCCATGCCTGTCAAAGCAGTATCGTTTCGATATCGCTTCGACATTGCTTCGATATCGCTTTGATAGGACATTTCTCACGTGGGGTGCGCAACAACGTCGAACGAGTAAGCATCCAATATCCACTCGAGCTGGCTGGACGCCCCGAGAGCTTCTCTCCCGCCCCCGGGGCTGGGCCTGGAGCCTGCGGGGTGCACCGCCCCCCTTCTCCCGCCCCCTCCCCCGCCCCTCCCGCTCGACACGTACCGCACATTTTTACGAGCGTGTTCCGCGGCGCGTGCGGGCGGCGGCGAATGGACAAGGAATGGGGGATTTAACGACGAGGCGCAACGGCTCGGGGCGACAACCCTAAACGGTTCCGGGCGCGAGCCGGGCCGGACATGACCGTGTAGTAGATTGACCAGTGGGCTCCCCGGCCTCCACTGGTCAGGTTACTTTACTTGGGCTCTTTTTATGGCCAGCACTTTTCGCAAACCTGAGCATCTGATTTTTTTTTTCCTTCGGTATTTCCGTACATTCGTGCAGCTTTCGAAAATGTATAATTTGGTGTACTTGATCGTACAAACTTTCGAGCGTCGACGCTGTGACCTCGAGCTCTCATCGCAAGTGATTAATTTCCTTGGACCTTCTGTCTATCTCGTGG